ATGTTTCTTGAGCAGTAAATCAGCATATAAGAATGATTTCTGAAGAAACGTGACACTGAAGTCTGGAACAACGGCTGCTGAAAACTCAGCTTTGCATCACAGAAATAAATTAATTATAAATTAAGAAAGAAAACTGAAATAATATTTATAATATTTAAATTGAAATAATATTTCACAGACAGTATGGTGAGCATAAACGACTTCTTAACGACCCCAAACCTTTAAACAGCAGTGTATGTTTTTGTGAATTTAGAAGCAAAAGCTAATTTAATATTTCAAGCAAAAGTTATTCAAATTAGGCTTAAAAAAGAACCACCCAAAATGTACCTTTTTCTCCAGCTTCATGTCTAGACGTAGGTTAATGTACACAGGCTGGTTTTCAGGACCGAAATCCAGCTTCTGGAAGTTCTTCAGCATTTCAACGGCCACGGATGTCTCATAAACAGGTTTGGGATAGTGCCTCACCATGTACACATCATCTACTGGAGCCCAGGCTGTGAGTCCATAGGGTTTATGTCTGTTTTTGTCATCAACCCTTTTTCTCTCTTCCACCGCTTTCTCTTGAACAGTCTCGTCTTTCTTCTCTTTCTGCCTACAAAAAGTGTTTTGATAAAAATCATGATGATTCTTTACATATTCTTTTTTTTTTGGCATGGTTGCTAAATTTGTTAGTATGTCGAACACAAAATCTACTAATTGTATTAGCCAAACTTTTTACCATGGTAAAGGCTAAATAGTGTAAAGAGAACTCACTTGGCGGCGGCGGAAGCATAGGATCTGACAGGCTGCTGCTGTCTGTGTGCAGTCAGAGAGCTGCAGGAGACAGAAGGAGCTCTGCATGTGAAGAACAGACTCTGACATCTGGCTAAAACTGTGATTGAAACAGCACACAGGAGTAAAGCAGAATTAAAAAGACTGGGTCAAATGACATATGATAATGATTACATGTAATTAACCGATTAGTAGTTAAAAAATTATCAAAATTCAATTATCCTTGAGACACACTGCATAAATTCCTGTAAGGATAACTAAAACAGATCGTGGTCAAAGCTGTTAGCTTGTGTAGATGTACAACGCGATATTTAACAATCAAGTATTCTGCACATGACTATTTGCATGTTAATAATCTCTGAACGTAAATGTAACGTTTAAAAACTGACCTCTTAAAACACTC